CCCGACCCTGACATAACTAACCCGATTCAGCTAGTCAAGGGTTAGTTGAGTTGGTAATAACTACGATCGGGTTTGTGTAGTTAAAGAAGTCACTTGATCTCCAGGAAGAGAGTTGAACAGTCTTATCTTAGATGAATCACTTTCAGTGACTGAAGATGTAGCAAATAGACGTGACATGTTTTACTTAGTTGCTCGATTAAACACTAGATGTCAGTCTTGTGTCTGGCACATCTGGTGGCAGTCATGCAGCCATCCCCTCTTCCCCCTCTATTTCCAGACAGTATTCTTACCCTGGCCTATCCCATATGTTGTGTACTGGCAATTTAACCCTGAATCTTAGAGACTGCCTCCAGGGGAATTCAGATCAAATGACCAGGCGGGTACACAAAACATGATTATTTTGTAATGTACATTCCTATCCACACGTATTATGGTGTGGAATTCAAACACAGGGCAAGTACATGACAGCCATGTATTGAGTTTCAATGGGAGAATTAACAAGTGGAAGTGTGACAATGGTGTGTTTACAGACACTGGTAATGTGACCGTGACTTCCACAAGCTTTACACCCGAATGCAACAGTTAACAAGGCTGAGACAGAACTGTAATAACTGTGATATCTACAGTTGAAGTTGAAATGCATTTGATGTTAACAAACTATAGGTTTGGCAAGTCGGTTAGGACACAAATTATTTTCCAACAGTTGTTTACAGACAGATTATTTCACCTATAAATTATGAATTCTTATTAATTATATCAGAAGTTGACAGTTGAGTGTGCTGTTACACTTCCCAAAAAAATACCCAAAATGATGCCTTTAGAAGCTTCCGATTGGCCAATTGCCATAATTTGAGCCTGTAGATGCACCTTCAAACTCATCTAGATATCATCAAAAGAAGTCGACCACAGAAAGATAATTGTAGACCTCCACAAGTCTGGATCATCATTAGGAGCAATTTCCAAACCCCTGAAGGTACTACTTTCACCTCACCCTCAACCTCACGCTTTCTTTCTTTACTTTGATGTGAAAAGTGCAAATCAATCCCTGAACAACAAAGGGCATTGTGAAGATGCTGGAGGAAATAAGTACAAAAGTATCTGTATACACAGTAAAACAGTTCTATAGCAACAGTAAATGGACGTGGCAGCATCATGTTGTGGGTGTGCTTTGCTATCGGAGGGTCTAGTGCACACTACAAAATAGATGGCACCATGCAGAAGGAATTGTACGTGGATATTTTGAAGCAACATATCAAGACATCAGTCAGAAAGTTAAAGTGTAGTCGCAATTGGACAATATCCTGAAGCGTTATCGGTAACTCCGGTGAAGGGAATCCCCAGGGGCAAGTGCAACTAGATCTGGGATTCAAGCAAAGACTTGTTGTCGCACACTGCACTTGACTTAGAAATATCTGCTCAACTTATGATTTGGCATGTGTGCAGCTCATCCAGGATGGCACATCAATGCGAGCTGTGGCAAGAAGGTTTGCTGTGTCTGTCAGCATAGTGTCCAGAGCATGGAGGCTCTACCAGGAGACAGGCCAGTACATCAGGAGACGTGGATGAGGCCGTAGGAGGGCAACAACCCAGCAGCAGGACCGCTACCTCCGCCTTTGTGCAAGGAGGAGCAGGAGGAGTACTGCCAGAACCCTGCAAAATGACCTCCAGCAGGCAACAAATGTGCATGGGTCTGCTCAAACGTGCCCCATGAGGGTGGTATGAGGGGCCGACATCCACAGGTGGGGGGTTGTGCTTACAGCCCAACATCATGCAGGACGTTTGGCATTTGCCAGAGAACACCAAGAGGGGCAAAGTCGGCACTGGCACCCTGTGCTCTTCACAGATGAAAGCAGGTTCACACTGAGCACATGTGACAGACGTGATAGAGTCTGGAGACGCCGTGGAGAACGTTCTGCTGCCTGCAACATCCTCCAGCATGACCGGATTGGCGGTGGGTCAGTAAAGGTGTGGGGTGGCATTTCTTTGGGGGGCCACACAGCCCTCCATGTGCTCACCAGAGGTAACCTGACTGCCATTAGGTACCGAGATGAGATCCTCAGACCCCTTGTGAGACCATATGCTGGTGCGGTTGGCCCTGGGTTCCTCGTAATGCCAAGACAATGCTAGACCTCATGTGGCTGGAGTGTGTCAGCAGGCCCGCCCGTCCCCCAGAGCTGAATCCAATAGAGCACATCTGGGACATCATGTCTCGCTCCATCCACCAACGCCACACCACAGACTGTCGAGGAGTTGGCGGATGCTTTAGTCCAGGTCTGGGAGGAGATCCCTCAGGAGATCACCCACCACCTCATCAGGAACATGCCCAGGCGCTGTAGGGAGGCCACACAACCTACTGAGCCTCATTTTCACTTGTTTTAGGGACATTACAAAGTTGGATCAGCCTGTAGTGTGGATTTCCACTTTAATTTTGAGTGTGACTTCAAATCCAGACCTCAATTGATTTCCATTGATAATTTTTGTGTGGTTTTGTTGTCAACTTATTCAACTATGTAAAGAAAATTTTATTTAGTAAGATTATTTAATTCATTCAGTTCTAGGATGTGTTATTTTAGTGTTATTTTAGCAGTGTATTTCGCTAAGGAGTAAACTTCCAATTCAAACTGTACTTTACGTTTACTAAAGGATATGACATATTTTCCCACACCCAATAACGGCAAACTAGTACCAAGCAAGTGCAGTAATTGTCAATTTGGTCAAAAGTGTACAATTTCATTCAATGACTGCTGGTCAATATTGGCTCATGTTGGTAAAACTGGCACATGAATCCCAATGGTACTGTTTTACTACCCTTACGTCTGATATAACAATCAATCTGACATTGAAAATAAATGTCATTATATATAGAGCTGGGTTAGGTCATGTATTTGGTGAAGGTTATAAATACATGCTATGTCATTGAAAGTACCAAGGAGTACGATGGTCTTCATTTTAGTGAAATGAAAGACAATTGGAACAACCAAGACTGTTCCTAGAACTGGTTGTCTGGAAAAACTAAGTGATCAGGCAAGACATGAGAGACTGGTAAGAAATACAGGACTTCAGACTGGGGCAAAGATATATTTTTTATCCCGACAACGAGGCAACCAGAGCACACAGCCAGGATAATACTTGAGGGGCTTCAGGACACGTCTGTGACTTTCCTTGTGATGCTCAGCAAAAGCCTGAACTTGAACCCATTTTTAACATCTGTTAGGAGACCTGAATACTCCACCCTGCTCCCTGAAGCTCATCATCCAATCTGACAGCGCATGGCAGTATTTATAAGAAAAAATTTGATACCGCCCAAATTCCAGTTTGCCAAGCTGGTGAAGGCATACTCAGGAAAATGAGGTCACTGCCTTAGGCGCTTCTGCAAAGTACTGAATAAAGGGTCTGAAAATATATACACAGTGAGCTCGATCATTTATTGGACAGTGACCGTTTTTTGGTTACTATGGTTCCGTACTCAGGCACTTTTAGAGATTAAAGTGCAGAATGTAAGTTTTCATTTTGTGGTGTTTATATACATACCAGATGAACCGTTTAGAAATGACAGCACCTTTTGTACATAGTCGGCGTACTTTCGAGCGCCAACTGTTTATTCTTGACATAATAATGTGGAATGAAGTCATCATTGTTAATATTGGTTGCATGTCCTTTGCATTGCGATGTATGTTAATATTCTGCGATGCGTCCACATCTTGGGTGTCGTCCCTGGTGACGCCTTTGGAGGTTGTTTTGGGGGTGTGACAACATGAAGAAGAACGGAGCGTTGATCTAAATGAAGCTGGCCGTCAGAAATCTCAGAAATGATAATCGATTAATCAGGAAATTTGCAAAAACCTCGGCATGCCCAAGTCAACAGTTTAGCTCATCATTAACGAGAAAAAAAAATCCTCATTGATGTAAACATTTTTAATTATAGATTAGAATTCTGACATCACACTTCTGTTCATAGTGGCCCCACCCCTCTGGCTCTGAGAGGTTGAGACTGTGGGAAGTAAAACTTGCTTGGTCATTTAAACAGAGCTGGCTGGCTGGTTCATTCTGGCCAGGTCCGGATTGCACGTTTTGACAATTTATTTTCTAAAGGAGGAAAGGGATTTGTTTGTGAATTTTCCTGACACAACCTGCCTCTGGGCATCCAGGCTACCTCACACCAATTTAATTAGCATATGTAAGAGATCCTAAAGCTTTCACACTGAATGTTAGCTTGTATAATCTCAGTTGTCCTGCTTTCATTCTCCTTGTCGTGTCTATCTGTGTTTGGAATGAAGGACAAATAGTATAAATATGAAGTATTCTACGTTTTATTTGGCAATGTTGGATATGGCTTATAATTCTTAATGTTTCCTGAGCCACATTCAGCATGGTGTATCAGTATTTCAGTGTGATGTCAGTTGGTTCAGCTTGTGTTCCATAGAGTTCCGTAGAGTTCCGTGGAGTTCTGTAGAGTTCCGTAGAGTTCTGTAGAGTTCCTTAGCGTTCCGTTGTAGGAGGGCTGGTTGCTGGGTTTCCACAGCGACAGGCCTCACACATACACATAAACCTCTTTTTTTTTTTTCTTCCAGCAGTACACAAAGTAATGGGTAATCTCTTATCTGAGGAATCACAAATATGTGTTTAACTTCTTGAAAGGTACTGTATATACAAACACTTCCAACAAAAGAGAGAATCCTGAATTCCACGCTGAACCTAACGCTCTGGAATGCTAACGCGTCATCGAGGAAATTGCTTGGTTTTTGGGCACTAGTCATTACCAGGGAAGTGGCCTGTAATCTGTGGTCGTACCATGATGTTTGTGTGTAATATTGTAATTGTGTGGATGGGATAGTTGCACATGTGTCTCTGTTGTCGTCCTTATAATGACATCAGAATCACTCACGCCTTTGTATTTACATTATTCTCAGTCATGCCGTACCATGTTTGTTTTTTAACTTAACCTTTATCTAACCAGGTAGGCCGATTGAGAACAAATTCTCATTTGTAACGGCGACCCGGGGAACAGAAGGGATTTGAACCCAGGATGTCATACACACAAAGCATGCACTCTACCACTGAGCTTCCAGCTACTCCATTGTAAGGTGCAATTGCTGCCAGTTAAAAAAAATGCTGGGACATTAAGCAATTTGGGTTCATAACAACTCCTTCCTGAACACTGACAACCTGTCAGAGTCGAGGGAATTGATCTAAGCCAAAGTTCAGAAGCCGTAGGGTTAAAGATCCCCCTGTGTGATAAGAACTTTCCACCTTTGGTCTGAGATTGATTGTTTTTGCTAGAGATATTAGGGCTTCAGCAAACTAAGTAATCTATGTGAACTTTTGATTGACTGTAGATATTCCATTAAAATTCTGCTATCCAGCTACTATAGTCGATTGCAACATTAACAATGTCTATACGGCATTTATGGTTGATTAGATGTTATTTTAAGGCACACAAAATGTGCCTTAAATATTTAATATATACTTTAGGTACTACATTTACATTTTGCACATTTAGCAGACGCTCTTATCCAGAGCGACTTACAATAAGTGCAGGCATTTCACATATAGCTAAAAGACACATCAAAAAGGCAATAAGTACATTGTTCCTGGGTGGGTGCAGGGGGAAGTGCTAGAGATAGAAGGGGTGCTAGGAGAGGAGGAATGGGTGATAATTGTAGAGGAATGATTCGGTAGTGAAGTTTCGAACAGGCGAGAGTTGTGGAGCTCCATTCGTGGAGCTACTGGAGGTACAGTTTGAAGAGGAATGTTTTTAGACGTTTTTTGAAGATTGGTAGAGAGTCCGATGATCTGATCGCCAGAGTGGAGTTGTTCCACCATTGCGGGGCAAGCACGGAGAACAATTTAGACTGAGCAGATCGGGAGTTGCCCTCCCGTAGGGATGGCACTACCAAGAGGCCTGAGGTGGCAGAACGAAGTGCTCGCGTGGGTGTGTACGGCTTGATTAGTGACTGGATGTAGGAGGGGGCGGTTCCTCTTGTTGCCCCATAGGCTAGCACCATGGTTTTGTAGTGGATGCATGCTTCGACCGGGAGCCAGTGTAGTGTGCAGAACAGCTGAGTGACGTGGGAGAACTTTGGTAGATTGAAGATCAGGCGGGCTGCTGCATTTTGAATGCTAAGTACTAATTAACAGTTCACTACCTGGGTTGCTGTGTGTGTTTTAAATGTTGCATCTTGGTGTCAGAACAAATTCCTTGGGTGTGTAAACAGACTTGGCGAATAAACCTGATACTGATTCTGAAGTCTATGTTCACTTTTATCTTGCACAAAACTCTTACGAGCATAATGTTATTATCTACTTTATACAATTGTCGACATCCATGAGTGGACAAAAACGAGTTCGAGCAAATTGTCGATGAACCACACTGTAGAGCGACTGAGGCTTCCACATTTGCAAGCTTATGACACTTCGTGTTTTAGATAAACTGTCGAAAAGAGGTATACATTCAAATCTGAACGTGGTTAGGATCCATTACCTCGGGCATAAAGTTTTTTGGCAATTCCGAACTTTGTGTAAAAGCTTCAGACATTTTAAGTGTGATTATCTATGGCACACACGATCAGGGTTGTGAGTTTTAGATTTATATGAATAATGTGTAGTAGGGCAGAACCGAGCAGGGATAGAGGGAAGGTACAGAGGCATACAGTAGTTGCTCCAGTGAGGAGAATTTCTCCCTGCGTGCCTCTCTGAGCTGTCTGTGAGGTTCTCCTCTCCACGCTCTGTGGGTCTGGCCCCGTTTTATTGCTGTTTGCTCAGCACAGACAGAATGGAGGCAGTGTTTGTCCTGCGGAGTGGCGAGAAGAGGAGGAGAGGAGTGTTTTGTTTGAGAAGGCCCCGTGCTCCCAGGGGCTGTCTGTCCTTTTCTCCCTCTCATTTAGACTAAATTCTGTTTCCCTCTTCACCGAGATTTATGGACCCTCTGTTGCTAGGTTACGGATGCGCCCAGCAAGTCCTTGTTGGAGACAGTGACCGGGATGTTACTCCCAGAACCTTGACTAAACCGCGAGTTAACCTCAAACTCACCCAGGCAGTGCTACGGGCATCTCTCACTTCACTGTCTACACTTAAAGTTGAGTGACAAAATCTAATAACCCCTAAAGCAATATTAGTAATCACTATGCCAAGACTATGCACATAGGCAACATCACATGTTATCAAATAACACACACACATGTTTAATACACTGGACTTATGCAGTTGCGTACTGTGAGCTGAGTGCGTCCGCCTGTAGTTTACTGAAGCACCATCGTCGTCCTCCTTTTCCTGCTCAAACACATAGGGCTAATTAGCGCATAATGACTTAATGACAGCCGTGGGTTTGACCCTGCAGGAAGCGACTGGTCTGTTTTATTTCCAGCGGTAACAGCGTGTCCTGCTCCACTCTGGTTGAACCCATGGTTTACTGCACAGCTCATACCTCCAGGCTCACTGGAATACGGACGGTGTACATGCAGGCCAGCCTATAGGCGAGAATATCACAGGGTTAGGATGAGGAGGTACACTACCGTTGGACACTGACATGGCACCATGTTTTGCACAGTGCGTTATAGGTGTCAGGGTAAAGACCCCTTGTTAATAGAATGCTGAGGATTAAGGACTATCAGACGTGACATTATCATGGGTGATTCTGTTAAAGATGCAGAAAGAATATCACAGATTATATTTCAGAATTTGCAGAACACATTTCTGAAACGTGCGATGGGCAGACTGTGTCCCAGGCACTGACCAGTCAGACAGTTTTAAATAAGAGTCACAGACAGGATGCCCATACAAGTGCACATACCAGTGCCAGTGGCCATACCAGTGCCCATACCAGTGCCCATACCAGTGGCCATACCAGTGCCCATACCAGTGCCCATACCAGTGGCCATACCAGTGCCCATACCAGTGTGACACCAGTGCCCATACCAGTGCCAGTGCCCATACCAGTGCCCATACCAGTGGCCATACCAGTGCCCATACAAGTGTGACACCAGTGTTTTTTGCTGAGATCTGAGTTTTCTGGACAGGTTTGGTGTCACAAAGGCACTTGGTGTGGGAAGCAAACTTTACAAGGTCTGCATTATTTGCCCATTTGCACAATTTAATAAGGCCAGAATATCAATATATATATACATCATTTATATTATTTAGATGAGTGAGCCTCAGAAGATCAGTAATTACTTTTTTAATAATATGGAACCATCCCACGTGCTCAGATTACATGTTATCTTTAAATGGAAAGTTACTATTTATACAAACAGAAGCAAGCACTCTACAACAAAGAGACTGTGTTTGAGTGTAAGATCGAGCCACCTACAATGTGGTTTTCATTCGAATCCAGAAAATCCCTTTGTTTAACTTGAGAAACGATCACATCGCTACACTACCTTAATTGACGACGTATTAACTAAACACGATCACGATCGACAACAAACACTTCCAGTTTATCCTTGCCTGTGTCCTGTTGTCTACTATTCCAATATTGTCCAAACATTTGTACATACCTTTCTCGTGAAAACAAACACCATTACACATCCTCTTTCCACCTGTGTCACACACCAAACCTCAAACCCGTCAAAATGCTCAGGGGCCCCATGTTGGCCCCAGGAAGGAGTCAAGCTACTAGACCAACTGGCCAAATAGCAAACTAGCCAACTAGCACCAGTCTGTGTCAATGCAAAAAAAATTGTACTTTCGAGTAAAACATTGCCGCCCCACAAGTGGAAACTAGGCATTAGGGCCGCTAGGGTCAGCTGCAGTTAATAAAGCGTACCTGATCTACACCTGTCAGGAGAGGTAACTTTAGATCTGACTTCTTCCTGGGTGGCCACTAAGGTCCCACACTGTATTCATTTATGTACGCAATTGTGTTTTCTATTTTGTGATAATGACTAGCCTAATTGAAACCACTTCCAGGAAAGTTTACTAAAATGTACTTGCCATTTAATGTCTTAAATTCCCATTTGCTGAAATGTTTAATCATATTAAGACATTTTAATAATTTTATAAAAATGTTTAGAACTTGGAAATGTGTACAACGCACGCAAATATATGATTCGCAATGACTGAAATGTGCCTTTTCTGCTATGGAGCATTTCCATACACACGGTTAGCCATTACGTTTACCTTTAGATGGAAACAACATTAATGTCAAGAACAAAACTATTAAAATGCTAATGTTCCAGAGACTGTGTTCGACTTATGTATACATTCATTTATGGCTCCAACTGCTAGGTCCAACTGCGGTTGAAACATTTAGACGTGTGTTGAGTTTGACCGCGCTTAACCGCTGCGGTTCGGTAAGCAGTTTTAGCATTAGCCTGTTCTAGTGCTTTAAACACTTTCGCTAAATTTCCCATAATCTCACAAGATGGACATATCGACATGAAATCTCCCAAAAGGGCGACCAGTTAAGGCATGTCATTGCTTAAGAGGGGCATTTGGCTTATGCAAATAGCCCACCCAGTGGCATTGAGAGGGGATTAGACACCCAAAGTAATCAGCAGTGGCTTTCACATTTCTTTCCCATTTAACAACATCCAATGGAAATGATATATTTGTTATTCAAATGAGTGCCGAGTAGCTCAGCTACTTTATTTCCCCACTGAGTTGAAGGCTAGGCGTTAGATCTGGGAGCTGACAGTAGTCTCTGGGTTTTAAGCGCAGTGACCAATGATACCAGTCAACAGTTCACTAGCCCACCTCCCCTATAAGTGAGCACTAATCTGGTGCACGATGATCTTTCCGGTGTGACTGTTGCTACTGTAGCATGTCCCTCCCAGGCTGTGGGGTTCAACCGGAGTTGCGCGAGCTTTCTCTTGTCGAATCCCCCCCCCCTTCCTCAACAACATCCCTCATCAACCCTCACAAGAGCCAGGAAGGGAAAGTCACTCAACAACCCGGAGGAATCTCTGTCTACCGCGGGTAGGGGCGACAAGGATAGATGGGCCCGTCGACCATCATTGACTGATCATCTATTGTGCATCCTTGTCAGTGTGCCATGACCTGGGTGACAATTCAACCGTCTGTGAGTGTTCAGGACCTCCGAAGGGACGGTTGTTTTTTGCAAGGGCCTTTGGACCGAC